TCTAAGTGACATCAAACTTTTAAATAGTAGTGTTTATTTATTTTGTATTGTTATTTAACCTTTATTCAACCCGGTAGGCCAATTGAGAATAAATTGTCATTTGCAACAGCGACCTGGAGAGGGGCTGAGGATTGACCCCAGGTCATCATACATACAAAGCAGGCACTCTACCACTGAGCTACCAATCAGCATTACATAAGGATATTTAAAGTCAAATAGAGAAATACATTGGCCTTAAAGAGTTTTCTCCCCCAAGGACTTTTTATATTGTTATTGTGTTGCAATTGGTTTAATCGTTTTTAACCACTGATAATTATTTAAATATATTTAAATAAAATAATTATTTATATAAAACAAAAAAAATTGATTACACAAGTATTCACTCAATTTAATCAACATTTAGTAGAGGCATCTTTGACATGTGTGACATGATAGGAAACATGATAGACACAGGTCCAGAAAAACAAAACACTTCTGTACTAAAGCTTAAGCTCAAACCAAAAGGGAACACTACGGGGAATGCTGTTTAACATGAACACAAATACCAGTACCTTACCAATAAGATAAAATAGTGCCTAATGTAGTGACGGGATAACAAGGTCACAAATAGTAAGTTATTAAGCCGGCCACAGCGAGCGCCAGAGGGGTGGTATTGGTATGGGAGAGACGTGACAGCATGAAAAGGAATGGAAGCAGGTGAAGACGTGACAGCATGAATTACATGAGACTATTTGGATGAGTTTACACCAGGTTTGCAGTCTGAAAATAATTTAGGTGGCCTCTGGAATGGATTCATTTTATTGTTGTTTTTTCTCAATTTTCTACCATTTTTAACTCTTCACATTATAATATTTAGGTCCGGTCTGTGACTGGGCCACTCCAGGCCATTTGTAATTAATATAAGGATACAGAGTGTTGGGTTCAATCGCAGAGCGCAACAGATGTGTAAATGTGACTTAAATGTCTAAAGGAGGAGGCTTGACGCTTGTTTCAGAAACAGCCAGAAGGTACAGACAAAGGGAATCATATGGACGGGCATAGTTAGGCACAAGGCTAGGAATCAGGTAAACAGGCAAGAACTGGTCGGTTCTATTCCAATCTCTGATACCTCACAAATTATATGATTCACTGACCAGAACTAAATAGTAGCACTGACAGGAAACAGGTTAGTAAACAGGTGACTAGGATTCTGGTAATCGGAAGGATGAGTTACGTTTACGGTATATGTGACAAGCTGGAGGTGGATTGTTTTCAATGTAATTATTTAAATGTATGCCTCTCCAGTGTGGCTTTGGCTTTATGTTTGGAACGATGTTCTCCTGGATGATTAATCAAGTCAGCTGTCTCTGTCCCGGTATGCATAAGACACTCTGTTTTCACTCCGTGTTTCCCGGTTTTAACCTATATTAGCACATCCGCTGTTCCTGTCACTTGTCTCGTTATCACTCACACCAGGTCCCAATTAGTGTGTGTATTTAAGTTGGCTCCTCTGTCTTCAGTGTTGCTGTTTATTGTTATGTGTCATTTCCTCTATGCCAGTGAGGGTTCTAGGTGTCTGTTTTAAGAGCTGGCTGTTTGTGTTTCGTAGTCGCTGCTTAAGCACACTTTAGTTTCCATCTGTGTTTAGTAGTTGCTGCTTAAGCACACTTTAGTTTCCATCTGAGTTTAGTAGTTGCTGCTTAAGCACACTTTAGTTTCAATCTGCGTTTCGTAGTTGCTGCTTAAGCACACTTTAGTTTCAATCTGCGTTTCGTAGTTGCTGCTTAAGCACACTTTAGTTTCAATCTGTGTTTAGATTTATCATGTGTTTGTTTGTTTGTTTGATTCTTAATTAAAACCCCTCAACTTGAATAATGCCTGCATTTGGTTCCTACACCACTTCACCATTGGACTGTGACAGTCTATTGCTCATTCTGCCTCCATCAACCACACAACTAGCACCAGAGCATTTGGAACGCTTGTTCTGCCTTCATCAACCACACCACTAACACCAGAGCATTTGGAGCGCTTGTTCTGCCTCCATCAACCACACCACTAGCACCAGAGCATTTGGAGCGCTTGTTCTGCCTCCATCAACCACACCACTAGCACCAGAGCATTTGGAGCGCTTGTTCTGCCTCCATCAACCACACCACTAGCACCAGAGCATTTGGAGCGCTTGTTCTGCCTCCATCAACCACACCACTAGCACCAGAGCATTTGGAGCGCTTGTTCTGCCTCCATCAACCACACCACTAGCACCAGAGCATTTGGAGCGCTTGTTCTGCCTCCATCAACCACACCACTAGCACCAGAGCATTTGGAGCGCTTGTTCTGCCTCCATCAACCACACCACTAGCACCAGAGCATTTGGAGCGCTTGTTCTGCCTCCATCAACCACACCACTAGCACCAGAGCATTTGTTTAGTTAGCTCAGTGAGTGCTATCGTAGCGTAGTCGGGTATGAACCTAGAATAATCTTGTTTTTCGTGACATCTTGTCATCCATGTAATGGAGCCGATGTCCCACTTCGTCTGAGCGCTCACCCAGTCCCGTATAGGTTGAATCATTTCTGTTGCTTCAGAGAGTTGTTCTACAGGCCCAAAAATACATACATATTTTTTACTATTGCAATTTGCTATTAGTAGTGTTTTTGCATGTCATCTTCATCTCATATGCGATTCTCAATCACTGTTATACTAGTGTGCAGTAATAAAAGTTGTAATATTAACTGTATGCAGAAATATTAGTTCAGCTGTTAATTAATTTATTAAGTATTTAGGTGCAAGAAAAAAAATTCATTAAGGACTTACTATTTAAAATACTATCAATATTTTCAGTAAAGGAGAATATCTGGCCGCTTGTAGCTATGGCCATGAAGGCTTGGTGATGACCGAGAGAAGGACATTGCGTGTACAATCGGCCAAAATGGGTTTGGTCAGGAAGGTGGCAGGCCTCTCCCTTAGAGATAGGATGAGAAACTCAGAGTAGAGCCGCTGCTCCTTCACGTAGAAAGGAGCCAGTTGAGGTGGTTTGGGCATCTGGTAAGGTGCCTGGATGCCTCCCTAGGGTGTTCCTGCCACATCCAGCTGGGAGGAGGCCTCAGGGAACACCCAGGACTAGGTGGGGAGATTATATCTCCACACTGGCCTGGGAACGCCTCAGGAGCCCCCAGTCAGAGCAGGTTAATGTGGCCAGGAAAAGGAAAGTTTGGGGTCCCCTGCTAGAGCTGCTACCCCCGCGACCCGACCCGGATAAGCGGTTGAAGATGAGATTACTAGGATAACATGCATTAACCATGGTAAGAGTGGTTTCCTTGGGCTGAACTGTTTGTTTTTCTTTGTTCGGGGTTCAAAAAAATTGCTTGAAGCCTGGGATAGCTTGTCAACAGGTCTACCTCAGGTTTTAGCTACTGTATCACAAACAAATGGTGTATGATGACTTTAGCATGTGTATGACATTATACTTTTTGACCTGTATTTGGCAACTGGGGCGTGCTACATTTGGGCCCTGTGTAAAATAAAGAGGAATTTAATTCGAAACTTACCCAATTTAAAGACTCCGCTAGCTGTCTAGTCGTTTATATCCAGAGAACCAGGTCCAGACAGAATCAAGTTGTCCTTTTACATATTTTGCACAAAACAGAAAATTGTTGTGTCAGACATCTCTCACCTACTGGAAATATTCTGTTTGATTTAGGTTAGTGTTAGTTCATTTGCAATTGATTCGGCTCTAAGAGAGCCAGCTTTGCATATCAGAAGAGCCGGATCGATTTATAAAACATTTTTAAATGAACAATCAAAAGATGTAAGCTGTAAAATTAATACAATTATAATAATAACTGTATAATAACTGTATACAGACTGTATATCTGCCTCGCAAGATATTTCTGTTAATCAGACACGCGTTGTCAACTAATGAACCAAAGATGCGCCAACTCCCACACAGCCCAGGAGTGACAGAAAAGACCGCTGTGAAAAGTAACAACTACTGGGAATGAGTCGGAAGCACACTAGCATTTGGATGCAGCTTAATAATGTAGACCATGTTAGAGCAGAGTGCAGAATTAGCTGTTTTCAGCAGGTCAACTCCACATTAACACTGTCTTCTATGGACAACTTAATGCCAAAACCAATGTCTGTAGCAAAACAAAGCCAAATTGATATTAGATTGGCTAAAATTAAAATTTGCTAATCAGCACATTTGGAGAGTATTTAGGATTTTCCTTTTTTTTTTTATTCGTATCATCTTTGCACTGGAGAGTTTCTTCCTTTGGCACTTGCTGAATCCTCCTTTGGGAAATAAACTCTAACTTTAAGAGTGTTTATCAGGTTTACCTGAAGGATTCTTAGCATTTTCATAGAAAACCATTGTCCGGTCCACATCTGAAACACCATGCTGGCTGGCTAAAACTGAAGATATTTCAGTGTCTTTTTGTTTATAGTCTCTGAGGTAATGAAAAAAGCTCTATGCAGGAATATCCCTGTTCAAGGATGAACCGCTCCTCTCACCTGAAGCACCTAACAGAGACTGTGATGAGCTATGAGACAATATGTTAAAAACCATCACCAGAACTTGGATGTGAACTTTAGTTGTGATTAATCAGAGTCACTTTAAATGCTGGCAGGTGTGTAATGACTTCAATTTAACATGAGGTTGAATGTGATTGGTTAATTCTGAACACAGCTACATCCCCAGATATAAGAGGGTATGCACACATATGCAACCAGGTTATTGTGAGGATTACATTTTTTATTTCCCCCCCTCAAATATGTCAGTTTGTTTTTCAATTGAATTGTTCATGCTATAGGTCACATTTTAGGTGGAAAAAGTTCTGACATGATTTTTCTTTTCTCAATTTTTTTTCACAAAAAGCTGGCAGGGGTGTGTAGACTTATCATATCGACTGTAAAACACGACCTTGGCCCGCTGAAACAGAACATATTTCAGTGTCTTTTTGTTAAATGTCTCTGAGATCATTAAACAAGCTGCTTCTGTGTTAATCTACATGCCCACATTAGATAGACACCCACAAGTGTGGAAGACACCCTCCAGATTCAGTTAAAAGTCCCCAAATGTAAAACATCCTTTGGACTCGTAGCATTTTAATCTGTGGCAGCCAACTATTAAAATCGGTCACTTTCATGACCATTTCTGCCTTCAAGAACTTCCACCAGTCAAGTGCAATTTCCTCACTAAAAGAGTTGCT